GCTCTGTGATGTGCCTACCAGGAAAGAATCAGGTTGGTGTTGAGTGCGAGTAGCTGCTACACTTCAAGCAAAAAAGTTTTAAAATTTGAGTGTCCGGAAAAGTCGGTGTGCTACTTCAATGGCTTGGACTTCTTCTGTTGTCCTAATTCGGAGGATCCTTACGATAAGCACGTTTTTGGAGGTGTGTTGACGCGTTTATAATATTTGAGGGCATAACGTTGCTGCTAAACTTCTAATTTGCACCAATGTGACTTTATTGAGGATATGACGGAGAGGAGACGAAACACGGCTACAAAGTGTTTGGACCGCTGAATATTCGTCGATTAATGGATGATGTCCCGCTTCGAGTTCGACGACAAGCTCTTAGGAATAGACAAAGGCGTCAGACATCAATGGATACTGCATTCAACACAGCTCCTGCCTCCTTCAACATGGACTCAATAACGGCTCCACTGCGATTCGATGGTAGGATTTGGGTTTTTTCGCAAAGGACTCCTCTATTCTAGTGTTTATTGCAAATCTGATTATCATAATTTGGCCTTGAATTGATGAGCGTAGAGTCTTTACTCAGGAACTCGAAAAATGATATTTGCAAAGGACTTATGTAGTAATGAAAAGGCCGCTTCTTTCATCACTTTGAACGGCTCCCTTTTCCTGCAACTAGGATAACTATCTTACTTTAGACGAAAAGCCTCGTACCGTTTCCCGAGCACAACGAATGCGTAAACCCACACCACCCAATCATGGCAACCCAATTTGTATTGAACCTTTAGCAAGAGGAGACTGTGATGCCGCTCACATGAGGTACGACTGTGTACTTTCGCTTCGCTTTTCAAGGCAAAGCAGTGTGTACTTCAGATACTTCTATGACCGAGAATCAGATAGCTGCCGACTGTTCTATTACACCGGCTGCAAAGGAAACAACAACAACTTTGGAAGCCTACTTGATTGTCAAAGATTATGCGTTCTTGGAGGACAACGTAAGCCTCGTTTGCGGTCTTTGATTAAGCAGAAGTGCTAAGTTCTTTTTGATTTTAGGGCCGCGACCAAAAAAGCCCACACCTGCGCCACTCTTGCCTGGACAATGTCCGGATGGTAAATCGCCACTTGGCGGTACAGCTCCAGTACTATGTGGAAATTCAACTGATTCTATCGGTTGCCCTGTTGGTTATTTCTGCCTCGCGGGACCCCCAGATGTCTGCTGCCCTAATGCCAGTGCGCCAAAGAAAGGTATGCGCGCAGTAACCTAGTAAATTCATTGATCTCTCTCATTGTAGAAGAGAAAACTCCGATTCGATTTGCTCCGGAACTGCCGGGAGTACCCCGAGGTACCGCATTTACACAACCTCGTTGTG